AAAAAAAAAAAGATACTGCAAAGAAAAAAAAACTATAGGCCAATATCGCTGATGAACACAGATGCCATAATCCTTAACAAAATATTACCAAATCAGATCCAGCCATACAACAAAAATGTATTGATCATGATCAAGTGAAATTCATCCCAGGGATGCAAGGCTGGTACAATATTAACAAATCAATAAATTTGATACACCACATAAGCAAAAGATCAAAACCATATGATCATTTCAACAGATGCTGAAAAAACATTCAACAAAATCCAGCACCCATTTCTGATAAAAATGCACAGCAATGTAGAAATTGAGGGATCATATCTTGACATAATAAAGGCTATATATGAAAAATCTACAGCCAACATCATACTCGATGGGCAAAAATTAAAGCATTTCCCTTAAGAACAGGAACAATACAGAGATGCCCACTTTGGCCACTCTTATTTAACATAGTATTGGAAGTCTTAGCCACAGCAATTAGTCATAAAGAAAGAATAAAAGGGATCCAAACTGGAAAGGAGGAAGTAACACTGTCCTTATTTGCAGATGATATGATATTGTACATAGAAAACCCTAAAGCCTCTACCAAAAATCTACTAGATTTAATAAGTGAATTTGGCAAAGTAGCAGGATACAAAATTAACATCAAGAAATCAGTGGTGTTCTCATTCACCAATAATGAACTCAAAGAAATAGAAACTAAAGAACAATCTCACTTATCATTGTAGGAAAAAAAAATTAAGATACCTAGGAATAAACTTAACCAAAGAAGTAAAGAACCTCTTTGCAGAAAACTACAGGTCATTGAAAAAAGAAATAGAGAAAGATAGAAAAAAGTGAAAGTACATACCTTGTTCATAGATTGTAAAAATTAACATCATTAAAATGTTCATACTACGCAAAGCAATCTATAGAGTCAATGCAATCCCCATCAAAATACCAATGACATACTTCACATAACTAGAACAAATACTTTAAAACTTCATATGGAACCAAAAAGAGACCCAGAATAGCCACAGCGATCTTGAAAAAAAAAGAACAAAGTAGGAGGGATCACAATACCAGATATCAGGTTATACTACAAACCACTATAATCAAAACAGCCTGGTACTGGCACAAGACCAGGCATATAGATCAATGGAACAGAACAGAGAACCCAGAAATTGATCCAAGTCATTATGCTCAATTAATATTTGACAAAGGTGGGAAGACCATACAGTGGATTAAAGACAGTTACTTCAATAAATGATGTTGGGAAAATTGGATAGCTGAGTGCAAAAAAATGAAACTACACCACCAATTTACACCACACACAAGAATAAACTCAAAATTGATAAAAGTGATTCATGAATCCAGAAAAATCTAGAAAATGTAGGCAACAAAATTTCAGACATCACTCACAGCAGAATTTTCACTGATACAATGCCTAGCAAGTGAAACAAGGAAAAAAATTAACACATGGGACTATATCAAACTAAAAAGCTTCTGCACAGCAAAACAAACAAGCATCAAAATGAAAAAGGAACCCACTAAATGGGAGAGCATAATTGCCAAACATACATCAGATAAGGGGTTAATTTCCAAAATATATAGAGTGCTCATACAACTCAACAAAAGGGACACAAAGAACCCAATTAAAAGGGGGCAGATGACCTAAACAGACACCTCTCCAAATAGGACATACAAATGGCCAAGAGACAAAAGAAAAAATGCTCAACATCACTAATCATCAGAGAGATAAAAATTAAAACAACTATGAGGTATCACCTCACACCTGCCAGAATGGCTACCACCAACAAATCATCAAACAACAAGTGCTGGTGAGGGTGTGGAGGAAAGGGGACTCTAGTATACTGATGGTTCGAATGCACACTGGTGCAGCCACTATGGAAAACAACATGGTGTTTCCTCATAAAATTAAAAATAGAACTGCCATTTGACCCAGTGACCCACTTGTAGAAATATATCCTCAGAAGCCTGAAACACCAATCAGAATGAATATATGTACCCTTATGTTCATAACAACACTATTTACAGTTGCTAAGATCTGGAAACAGCCCAAGTGTCCATCAATAGATGAGTGGATAGAAAAGCGGTGGTACATATACACAATGGAACACTATGCAGCTATAAGGAAGAAAGATCTCATAGCCTTTGAAAGGACATGGAGGGACCTGGAGAGTATTATGCTAAGTGAAATAACCCAATCAGAGAAAAACAAATACCACATGATCTCAATTATTTGTGGAATGTCATGAACAAAAGAAGCTGGTGAATAAAATAAACCCAGATACATGAAAGTAGGGAAAAGACTGACAAACCTGGGGTGGGGGCAGAGGGTAAGAGGCAGGAAGACATAAACCGAAGAACTTATATGCATATATCTATCCGTAATCAATGGACACAAACAGCAATACTGTGAAGGTGTGGAGGGAAGGGGATTGGGAAGAAGGGTGTCAATGATGGAAAAAAGATGGACATCTATAATATTAATTAATAACTAAACAAACAAACACTGGTTATAAGGATTCTCAGGGAACATATTGAGGACCTCAAGCACATAAAAAAGGACCAGTCAGAAGTGAAGGATGCACTAACTAATATAAGGAATTATTACAGAGAATCAATAGTACAGTAGGTGAACCCAAGAAAGAAACCATTTATTTGGAATATATAATGTTAAAAACACCCAATCAGAACAGCAAAAAGAAAAAAAAATCACGATTGTGTAAGGAGCCTTTGGGACAACTTCAAGCATACCAACATTCACTTAATGGGGCTGCCAGAAATGGAAAAGAGAAATCAAAAAATTGAAAACCTATTTGAAAAACTGACAGAAAACTTCCCTAATTTGGTGAAGGAAACAAACATACAAGTCCAGGAAGCAGAGAGAGTCAGAAACAAGATGAAATCAAAGAGGCCCACACTAAGACACATCATCATCAAAATGCCAAAGGTTAAATACAAAGAGAGAATTTAAAAAGCAGCAAGAGAAAATCAGTTCTTTTCCTACAAAGGAGCTCCCATAAGACTGTCAGCCAATTTCTCAAAAGAAACTTCTCAGGCCAGAAAAAGTGGCAAGAAATATTCCAAATGATGAAAAACAAGAACCGACAACCAAGATTACTCTATCATGCAAAACTATCATTTACAATCGATGGCCATATAAAGAGTTTCCCAGACAAGTGAAAGCTAAAGGAGTTCATCACCACCAAACCAGTATTATATGAAATGTTGACAAGTCTTCCTGAAGAAGATCAAACAGATGAACATTAAATGGCAATAAATACATAGCTATGAACAACTGAATTTACAAACAAAAAGAACAAGCAGAATGAAAATAGACTGATAGAGAGAACTCTTTGTTGGTTGCCAGGTGGGAGGGAATTGGAGAGATGGGTGAAAAGTGAAGGGATCAAGAAGTACAAATTGGTTGTCAGACTAAGGAACCTCAAAGGGAAGAGGGGAAGTAGGGTGGGAAGAGATAAAACAAAGAACTTATATTCATATATGTATAATCAATGAACACAGATAATAGATGGGGAAGGCAGGAGGGGGGTGGGAGTGAAAAGGAAGGAGTCAATGGGGGAAAAGAGAGGTGACATCCGTAACACTTTCAACAATAAAGATGTTGAAAATAAATAAATATATACGTAGAAAGAAAGAAAGAAACAAGTACCTTAAATGACACATTAAATCTGATGGACTGAACAGATATGTACAGAACATTTTATCCAAAAACATCAGGACAATTCTCAAGGACACATGGATTCTCCAGAATCTATCATAGATTAGGTCATAAAACAAGTCCTAACAAATTTAGGAAGAATGAGTTGATAACAAGCATCTTTTCTGACCACAATGGTAGAAAACAAAAAAATCAATTACAAGAAGAAAACTAAAAATTTCACAGGTATGTGGAGATTAAACAACATGCTACTAAACAACCAATGGGTCAATAAAGAAATCAAAAGAGAAATAAAAATAGCCCTGGCCGGTTTGGCTCAGAGGTTAGAGCGTCGGCCTGCGGTACAGAGAGAAATAAAAATATATCTTCAGACAAATGAAAATGGAACTGCATGCCAAAATATGGGACTCAGCAAATGTTCTAAGAGAGAAATTCATAGTGATAAATGTCTACCACAAGAAACAAAAAAAATCTCAAATAAACAACCTAACTTTACACCTCAAGAAACTAGAAAAAGATGCAGGGGCATGAACACACTGAATGTGCACCTATATTTAAAGCAATTCCTCCTGAGAGACAACTGAGGGGTAACTGAAGAGCTTCTGCACAACAAAGAAGACAGAGAGAAACCATGCAGAGAAGATATGGGAAATGTATGAGCCTCCCCAAATCTGAAGGAGACTATCAGTAATGAAGGAGGCAGTGAGGACCATTGTTTACATTCCCCCTGCACTTGAATAGTGCGGGCAAAGGTTCTACCCAAGTTGTGTGTCAATTATACTCCAATTTACAAAAATGAGAAATAATAAAAACATATGCACTGGTAGTAGATCATCAGATTTATTTAGGGTTTAAATTCACTTTTTGGGCAAGATCCAACTATCCACACACTGGAAATATATTCCTCCTTGAGAAGAATAGGAATTAAGTAAAATGTGTACTTCATTGTGATTTTAGGCCTAACAATTATATGATTCATTGTTTTCATCAATATGAAAAGAGAGAAGCATAATAAAGAACAAAAGTGTCCGGTCTTTTAAAAGTTTTAGCATCCATTGTATTTGAATGTTAAGGTATAATTCATCTTAAGTGAAATTTAGTTGTGAATAAGTTTTACTCTATATTAAGCCCCAGTCTTCTTGGGTGAGCTTAACTACAGTCATTAGAACTGACCCACAGTAGCAACCTAGGTCACAGTAACCAATTCTATGGGGCTCGATCTAGTCTTAATATACAAATGCAATTCCTAGAGATGATAGTGTTGAGAACCTCCCACCTTGTATTGCAACATCACTGCCCAGCCATGCTCTGTTACCTGGAATCAGTTTCAAGGAATTCTCCAGGTATTCATCTTCTGTGATAGGGTGACCATTTAACTTCAGCTCCAGGGTGAAATCCCGTACAGCCCAGATAAAGTCCGGAAAGAAACTCACAAACTCTGAGGAATCTTCTTCACTGCGTGTAGGGGAGGACTTTGCCCTGATGAACTCTGTCAGCTCTGTCACATAACTAGAACCAGGTTAAGGAACATACCCACAATTCCTACATTTCCCTCAAAAAAATTCTTATACGCATTAACTTTTGTCCTGGGTTTCCTCTGCTCCACCAAAGGCCACTCAGCAACAGTGAAGGGGAACTTAATTTGATGTCCATTTCCATCAATTTCTCAATAAAATTGGGAAGGATACTGGAGTTTCTCCAAGGCATCATTGTTGATAGTGCTCATGCTGTTGTAGACTAATGTGCTACTCAGAAGCACAGACAGGGCAAAGATCCATGAGTCGTTCTTAGAATCACCCTAGAAAACATGTTAGAGAAATCACTTAGCGGTCTTCTCTTCAGAAACTCATTCAGTTATTTGTGCAATCACTTTTTATTTGTTATTTCAGATCATACTGTTTGGTACAAAGCAAAAACCCTGAAATCAGAATTAAAGTCAAATCTCAGCTCTGGTAGATTACATTGACATTTCTTATGACCTCATTTTCCTCACATATAAAAGATTCTAATAATACTTTCCTCAAAGTGTCCCTATTTTCCATAAGTGGGAGTAAATAAAATAATTCTGAATAATTCATTGTTCATAAGTGACTTCACATGTTCATTTAACAAATATTGAACTACAAAATATCTACTATGCTGGTCACATTTGAACTCTCAAAATAAAATCAAGTAAATTAAACATTTATAAACTTTATAAAATGTTATGTATTTTTCTTAATTATAGGGAAGCAGAGATAAATATGATAATTGTTATACTTGAGATGACTATTTCATAGTATTTACAAACATTTGAAAAACAAATGCAATGGAGATGACAATATAAGTAAAAGATTACATAGTAATAGTGAATGTTAGTAAAAGCAGTAGCCATTATATCAAACAGAAATAATTGATCTGTCAAAGGAGAACAAAATACACTGGAGTTGGAGAAAGAGTGTGTATGTAATTTGAAACATTCCTACAAATGTTGTGTTGGATGTTAAGGGATTGTAAAATCTTGACTTGGAGAAAGAAATGGAAGAAGCACAGAAGTAGTAAGACCTGCAGAAGCAAAATGAGAGTGAGAATGCAATAGATAGAACTATTGTTCTGACTGGCACAGAGCAGAAGACAGGTAGAGAAGATTAAGCTCAAAAGCAAATTCCCGTGCAGAATGATGAAGAGCCTTGAAGATGGGCAAATTTTTCTTGCCTAAATTATTGCAGAAACCAGCATTTAGTCATAGTATAAACAGTGTTTAACTCCACTCAAGACCCTTAAATTCAGCTTCTTAATAGTTTATTAAAATGAATAAAATTATTCACTTCATTGATCAGCAATAAAAGATCTTAGAAAATTTGTCACATTATTTTCTCTAACCTAGAAACACGTTTCAAAGAGATCAAAGTCTGCTTCATTCAGCATTTCAAGAATAGATCACATCAGTTAAGTAACAAAGGATCATAAGAGATAAAGAGACAATCCAGGATGAAAGATACCTGTTTGTGACTCTCTGCCATACCTTTTCTACGTCACCCAGGCCCTCAGTGTCCAGAAGGACCAGGGTGTGGTCATGTTTGGAGGGGTGAGGCACACACCACATCCAGATACCTTTGGTTTCAGACTGCACTGTAGAGCCCAGAGGGAAACCTGCAAGAGAGTGAGAAACGCAACGTAAAGTGACAACAAGGAGTCCAAGAAGCCCATGGGCTACAAAATGAGACTTAGAGTGTTATAAATGCCCTAAGATAGAATAGAGTGCTGTCTCCATTTCAAGAATGCCCAAATTTGTATAACATCTAACTACTTTTAGAGGTCATGTGCTATCACATAAGTTTGGATTATTCAGATGACTAATTCCATTTTGCAATGTAAAGATATCTCTGTTCATGTCTCTGTGGCCTACCCACACATTAGGCGAGAGAAAGGGCATGCTGTACACGAGAAAGCTTTGCTTTTTAACTGTTCAACTATCATGACTCCCTAAAGAAGTTAAGTGATTTGAATATATCATAATAGATCAAGACCTTTCAATAGTCTGAAGAATGAACAGGACAATATACTCAATATTTTTTATTAAGTACCATTATGTTCTTAGCACTGGGGATATGTTCAAGGCTCAGGAGATACAGCAGTGGCTAAAATAGACAGAAATACCTTCTCTCTGGAGTCTTATAGCATATGAGTCCTAAGACCTTGCTAATTTATAACTGGTTTATGGGTCAGCCGAGTGAAACCTGGTCTTAATGGATGGAACTATGGAGAGACAGGAATGGGTAATACATAAAAAAATAAGCATACTTTTATAAACCCTCATAAAATATTATGGCTACATCTCACCTCTTCTTTTAAATATGATGTGAATCACAACTAATTCAAGGAATCCCACAAACAATTAAAACATTATGTAAGAGAAATATTATCACATCATATTCATTCTGTTTTTTTTCTATGTTGAGGAAAAACACAACTTTTGAGGGCCCTACATAGAACCAGAATAGAAAAAGTGTTGATGTGTGGTTGATGCTGCTTCTATAGTCTCATTTTCTGCCCGTGAAATTCAGTATGTTCTCCTCTATTTTTCTTATGACCTTTTTTATATTCCTGGTGTCAGCAACTCTTTATATTAAATCATATTTGTGGGCTTTGTAGGATTTGGATATGCTGGTCTATAAGATATTCTGCAACACCAAGGTACTGTGTTCTAATCAGAATTTTTATGAAAGCTAGCTAAAGCCCCACAAAAATTATAGTGAGCTGAAAGATAAATATTCTAATATATTTTGTCTTATTCCGTTAAAGTGTGCTTACCATGTTCTACATACTATCCTTGCTGCTGAGAATTTGTCAGTAAAGACTCCAGGTTCTTTTCTTCTACTGATATTAATTTTAATATAAAAAATAAATAAGTAAATATATAAAATATGTTCATATTGTGTTAAATTTAAGTGAAGGGGCAACATGAGACAGGATGATCAGGGAAGACTTCTTTGAGAACTGACATTTGTGCAGAGCCTTGAATAAAAGGAGCTAGATGGGTAAAGAAGCAGCAAGTATTGCAGGCAGAGGGAACCACAGGTTCGGTGACATAGAGATGGGAAAGGGCTTGCAATTTGCAAGAACCTAAAGGAAGCTAGTATGGCTGTATCATAACTAGTGGTGGAGAAAATAGAAAAGATGACTTTGTAGCAATAAGAAAGACTAGGTCATAGTGAGCCTTTGAGGAATATAGATTTTACGTAAGAATAATGCAAGCTTAAGGACGGCATTAGAAGCAACTACAGTAAACTTTGCTTGGTTGCTTTGAAGGTGATTTATTAGAGAGGATCAAAGTAGAATAAAAGAGGACACTATAAGGGAAAAAAAGTATTTCAGGCAAAAAATGAGACTGACTTACCTCATAAATAAAAATGGTAAAATACAGTGTGGGTTTGTTGGTTGGAGCATTGTCCTATACACCTGAGAATAAAAGTGTCATTTAAAGTGCAGAGATCGGATAAGATCACATTGATGGGGCATAAATAGAGGAGAGAAAAGACCCCAGGACCAAGACCTGGAGTGACCTACAATTCATATAAATAAATGAAAAGTTAGAGGCTGATTAAGAGAATGAAGAGAACTAAACATAGAGGTAGAAAGAAACCTAGAAGAGCATGGTGCCTCAGAAGCCAAGCAAGGATCGAAGTTCAAGGAGCAGAGAGAAGTCAGCTATGAGCTATGATGTCAAACAAGGAACTAAGATGGATCCAAAGAACCATCCACTGAATCATACAAATGGAGGTCAGTGGTAAATATAACAAGAGTGAGTGTTCAATGGACTGTTAGAGCTAAAACCAGAAAGGAGTCAAATGAAGAGAGAGGTGGGACAAGAATTGGGAAAAGGAAACTAAGACAAATATTTTAGCTTGAAGAGGAGTACAAAAAAACAAAAAACAAAACAAAACGGGATGGTGGTCATAACAAGATATGAAGTCCAGGAAACAATTTTAAGATAATATTCAAGCATATTGGTTAATTAATAAGAACACTATAGTATAGAAAGCAAAATTTCATGTGGGAGACATGACTTCACGAGCTTAGTGCTTAGCTGGTTAGAAAAGATGTCTCTGAGAGCACTTGTTTGGAAGATTTTCCTTTTTTATTTAAATATATTTTTATTGATTTTTTAGAAATGGAGAGGAACTCCAATATGAGAGAGAAACATCCATCAGCTGCCTCCTGCACGCCCCCTACTGGTGATTGAGCCCTCAACCCCGGCATGTGCCTTGACGGGGAATCGAACCAGGACCTCTCAGTCCTTGGGATGATGATCAATTCACTGAGCCACACCGGCCGGGCTGGGAGATATTTCTTGTATAGGAAGCAGAATCATAATTGTAAGAATTAGGAACAGGAAAAAATTGCAAGTTTTCTGGTGAGAATTAGAATCAGGAAATGTGTTTAAAAAGAAATTTGGAATATCCACTCATGTGACCCTAGAGAAGTGGAGAGAGGCTGATTCAGCTGGCGTTAAGCAAATAGTCTGTCACAGGACTCCACTCACCAAGCTTTTCTCCTGCAAGACAGTTCATCAGGTAAGATTTTCCTGTACGATACACCCCAACGATAGCCACCACCACCACTGGTTGAGAAATCTTGTAAAGAATCTTTAAGGCTCTCTGATTCACCGACATCTGCTGGTTCTTGTTTTCCACCAAACACATGGGGGCCGACATGATGGGTTCAGATGCCATGGCAACCTGCAAACCCAAAAGAGTTTGTAGAAATGAGGTCACAAAATCATTCTCTGCCTCAAGGTTAATCAAAGCATGTGTACAGCAGAGGGTCTGTGGGACCTCTGTACATACTTTTCTATGACACAAAATGTAGAATAGCATTAGCAGACCACAAGACAGAAGGCTTCCTTCACCATAATCTTTGATGATGATAGTGATAAAAGACCAGATAGACCTCCAAAGTTTTACTTCCATTATAAAAATTCAAGCAATGTTTTTCATCCATTTGGAGTCTACATTTGATGAGCTCTGAGACATGTGCATTACAGAGCTGACCTCACTGCTATTTATAAGAACCTTGAAAATTTGCACCTACTACCCACTTTACATATGTAGTTGATGAAGTTCAGAGAGACTGAGGAATATGCTCAAATTTATATATGAATAAGTGGTAGATCCTGGATTTCAAACCAGGGAAGTCTGGTTCACCATACTTCGCCTTGCAATCACTTATCTGGTGGAATAATCTTTCTCAACATTCATTACTCCATATTCTCCTCGATGAGTGATGTATAGGAGTTTTCTATTGACTATCCTATACCAACAATACATTCTCTAGTTTGATGAAATGGGTTCCTCTTATCCCTGCAGAGTTAGGACCTCATTCCACAATCCACTCCGCAGCTCCCAGACCAGGCTCTTTCCTTGCATGATTAGTTTTTCATCAAGGGCTCCAGGTCACTAGTATTTTTTGAATTATATACTTTCATGTTTTCACTCCTGATAGCCAGTAGTATCAATACTGTCTTTAATTTATTTAAATGCATCGGATTAGCATCTACTATGTACCTGAAACTGTGCTTGCTTACTGGGTTAAAATTATTGACGAACTGTGGCCCCTGGCCACAAAATCATACTAAAGTAACTGTATCAGTTAGAGTTAGGTTTAGCTGTGAGAAACAAACAAACAAATAGTTCATAAAAAATTTAATTCTACTATTCTTTTACAAATCTTCCAGGATTAGTAGTCCACAACTAGTAGGGTAGATTTGCTTCAAAGGATTGGAGCCCAGAAACCTTACTTACATCGTATGCTCAGCCAACTCTGAGAGGCAGCCCGAGGTCTAAGGTGGTGTGCCATCATGTTTGTAGTAAGAGCAGATTAAAGAAGGAAAAGTAGCAGAGGCCACAGCTCTAAGAATTCATCACTTCTACTTAACAATAATAAATTTTAAGTTATCACATTACCATATCCAGCATCAATGTTCATCAGGGATATTGATCTGTAGTTTTCCTTTCTTGTAGTGTCATTGTGTGTTTTGGTACCAGCATAATACTAGCCTCATAGAATACTAGCCTCATAGAATGAACAAGGAAAAATTTCCTCCTCTTTAATTGTTTTAAATAGTTTAAGAATTGGTGTTAGTTCTTCATATGCTTGGTAGAAATTAACAGTTGAGCCATCAGGTGTTTTCTTTTTTGTTGTTTTTTGTTTTGTTTTGTTTTGTTTTACTAATTAAATATCCTTACCAATTGTAGGTCAAAAATAATTTTCTTTGTAATTTAGTGTTGGAATATTTTATTTTCCTAGGAATTTATCCATTTCATCCAAGTTATTTAACCTGATGGTGTGCAATTGTTCATAGTACTCTCTTATATCCTTTCTTTTTTTTTTTTTTTTTCCTACAAAGTCAGTAGCAATCTTTCTGGAATTATCCTGAGGAAAAGAGTATGTGAGTGACTTTCCTTTTTAATTTCAGTATTTGTGTTTTCTCTCTGTGTTTCTTAACCAATCTAGTTCAACGTTTTTCAATTGATTGATCATTTCAAATAACCAACTTTTATTGATTTTCTCTATTGTCTTTCTGTTCTCTAATTTATCTCTATTCTAATCTTTATTATTTACTTCCTTCTGTAACATTTATGTTTAGTTTGTTCTCCTTTTTCTAATTCTTTAGATTAGAAGAAGTTAGACTTTTTATTTAAGACTTCTTTTTTTTTTTTTTTTTTATCCTCACCCGAGGACATTTTCCCATTTTTTTGTTCAGGTAGAGTGGGAGGGAGAGAGAGGAACAGAGAGAGAGAGAGAAACATCGACGTGAAAGGGACACATCGAGTGGCTTCCACCCAAACGACCGACCAGGGCCGGGGATAAACTGCAACCGAGGTACGCACCCTTAGCGGGAACCGAACCAGGGTCTCTCAGGACCGCAGGCCGATGCTCTAACCGCTGAGCCAAACCGGCCAGGGCAAGACTTTTCTTTTCTTTAATGTAAACATGTATACCTATAAAATGTCCCCTTTGCACTGCTTTCACTGCATACCATAAGTTTGGTATGTTGTGTTATCATTATCACTTGTTTCTAAGTATAAGTATTTTTCAGTTTCTCTTACGATTTTTTCTTTTATATATTGATGTATCTAGTGTGTTGTTTAATTTGCACAAATTGGTTGACTTTCTAGTTTCACTTCTATAATTGATTTCTAACTATATCCACTTTAATCAAGGGAGGTGTTTTGTATGATATCTATCTTTTTATATTTATTAAAACTTAAATTATGGTTAACATGTGATCTATTCTGGAAAATGTCCCATGTGTACTTACTTGAGAAGAATGTGTATTCTGCTGTTGCTTATAGAAGGTTCTGTTAGACCTAGTTGCTTTACTACATTGTTCAATTCCTCTGTTTCTTTATTTATCTTTTGCCTGATTTGTCTATCCATTATTGAGAGTAGGATATTGAAGTATCCAACTATTATAGTAGAACTGTTTATTTTCATTTTGATTTCAATTTTTGCTTTGTATGTTTTGAAGGTATGTTACTGGGTGTGTAAATGCTTATATTTATTATACTTTTTCTATATTGAATCTCTTCTTAATGTATAATGTCCTTCTATGTATTTTGTCACTTTTTTATTTTAAAGTCTAGTATATCTGATATTCATATAACCACCCATGATCTTTTTTTATAAATATTTTCACAAAACATCTTTTTCCACCATTTCAATTTCAAGCTATTTGTGTCTTTAAATTTAAAGAAAATTTCTTATAGACAGCATATATTTTTATTATGGGTTTTTTAAAAAATAAATTCTACCAATCTCTATCTTTTGATTGTGGAATTTAACTCATTTACATTTAGAGTAATTACTGAGAAAGAGGAATTACTTTTGCCATTTTGCTATTTGTTTACTATATGCCTTATGGTGTTTTTATCACTCATTTCCTGCATTACTATCTTCTTTTATATTTAGTTGATTTTTTGTACTAAAAGATTTTAATTCCCCAATTATTTCCTTTTGTATATATTTTATAGCTATTATTTTGTGGTTACCATGGGGATTATATTAAATATCCTAAAATTATGACACCCTAATTTTTTTTTTTTTAATCCTCACCAGAGTACATTTTCCATTTTAGTTCAGATAAACTGGGAGCGAGAGAGAGGAAGATATGGGGAGAGAGAAGAACATCAATGTGAGAGAGACACATCGACTGGCTGCCTCCTGCAAGGCCTTTGTCAGGACCAGGGACGAACCACAACTGAGGCAAGTGCCCTTTACTGGATTCAAACCCGCAACTCATTGGTCCGTGTGCCAATGCTCTAACCACTGAGCATACAGGCCTGGGCATATCACACCCTAATTTAAATGTATACCAGTTTAACTTCAATAATATATAAAAACTCTCTCCTTTATAGTTCTGTTTCTACCCCTTATAGTTGTTGATATCACAAAATGACATCTTTATATACTGTGTGTCCACGAACATAAATTAATTGTTATAAATCATCAGTCTTTTAAACTATACAGAAAACAAAATGTGAACTTACAAATTAAAACTAAAATAAAACTAGCTTTTAAGTTAAGTTTTCTAATGAAGTGGTTTCTTAAATATAGCTGAAAACAAAAGGTAGAGTGACTGACTGTTGTTACAATAATACTAGCTGTTATAATTGGCCATATATTTACTTTTAATGAGATAGTTATTCTGTTGGTGGTGCTGCCATGAAGCAAATGGACAGAGAAAGGCCCTGAGAAAAGCCCAGCTATTCCAAGCTCTAAATACTGGATTTATCCTTGGTCACCTTAATGTGCATAGCTCAGGGACCCAAAGGACCAAAACACAGGTCTGTTGTCTAAGCCACAGACTAACAAAAGGAGAGCGTCCTTCCCAAAGCTAGACTCGGGTAATCATAAACGCTTGCCCCCTTCCCTTCAAAAGTCCATCTATGCCCTCGTGGCTTCTAAGGCTAACCCACTCTGCAGCCCACAGTTTGGTCCTGGTAGAAACTCCATCCATTAATTATGTTTTAAGGAAACTATGAAGAAAAAGATGCAAAATGAGTAACCAAAAGGAAATGCTAATATCAACAGCTCCTCCTGGAGGTCCCCAATCTCCATTCCAACAAAAACAGTGATAATCATCACCTTGTGCTTCTCTGGAAGTAAGGTTTCCATATGAAACTGCTCTCTAGCAGTCTCTAGTTTAGTTGTCCTTTCCTGCTACATTCCTGGCACAGCAAGCATAGGCTGATCCCTGCAATGAGAAATTCATCTGTTTTTGGTTCTGCCCTTACAATTTCTGCTAAGGCCAATAGTGCTCCCAAACCATGAGGATTTTGGATTGAATGTTATGACAGCCACATCTTCTAATGCAGTAGAGCGGCTCTATCTAAAGCAGGGGTCATCATCAGAGAGAAGCAAAGTTGTCACCTCATCGATGTCCTCTGCTAAGACCTAAAGCTTAACCAGCTGTTAAGAGAGTATTGTGGCTTATAATGAGGAAGGACCTGGCAGTAGGACAACCTGGGGACACAGCCATTAATTGTTAAGGCACAGACTCCATGCATCTCTCCTGTCTCGTGGTCCTAGTTGTTAAGAACAGCTATGGAACTAGCAATGAGTATGGCAAGTTTCATCAAAATCTGAGTTTTAAAACTGACTGCACTCAGGCAGCCCATTTATTTTTGGCTCTCTCTTATTATTTCCCCTCTAATAAATAAAGGCAGCCAGGGATCCCTGAAGCAGAATGCTCTTGAGGCCAAAAGAGAGAGTAGAGGAGGTGAATCTAATCTAATGTGGAGTCAAGATTGAGAAGCATAAATCCTAATGCAAATTATGAGAAACATGAAGAAACTGCCTTCACCTCCCTCCCAGCTTTAAAGAGCCCAGAGAAGACCCTAAACTCTCATCTCTCTATGCACCCATCTTGGCCCCACCCCACTTGCCGCTATCTTGGTCATGAGACATGTTGCAAGGCTGTCACCTCACAGGGACCACTGCTCCCCATGGAGAAGCTGAGCCTTCTCAGAACCAAAGGCAGCAATGGACCCCTGAAGCCAAGACTACCAGGCGACAGGGGCCCTCGCCTCTCTATTCCTCAGAGTCCAAATTGGGAGGTTTAAGCTCAAGACCGGTTGCATGCAAAAGAAAGTTGAACTAGCATTTCTGCCGGACAGCTCCTCAGGTCCCTGGGTCCAAGTACAAGCTCCCAGTTTTTTCCACTCCTCCTCTTTCCACTTTTCTGTTGTCACTTTATAGAAGATAGAAAGGAAATGAAACAAAAATCTGAACCTAATAGTAAAAGTAATTTCTGTCTTTTCTTGGGTGGGTGGGTAGGGACCACACAGACGAAATGGTACAGGGTAAAAAACAGACTTGGACCGTAAAGTTCATAACGGTTGTTTAAAGAGACTGTGAATAAATTAGTTTACATAAATAGAGCTTGTTAGAATTTTTTGAATACTGAATATCGTTAATACAAGAGGAAGTTTTAAATATCATCGTGTATGTTGAGTACTGCCTTTCACTCTTTTCCTCCAGTGTCTAGCAGAGGCCAGTCAGAAGTCTGAAGCAGAGGGAGGAATCAACTCCAAGCCTCACCTGCGCAAGAGGATTAGGGTTTAGAGCCTCAGCCCCGGAGAGGACTTCAGCCCCTTCCCACAGACGAGGTGGGCACTCCTCCAGTGTAGGACTCTGTGCAGCCCTGAGTGGGTGCCCGAGGAGAAGCAGCGCTCCCGGGGACACGCTGCGCTCGCTGCCGCCTTGCAGCGGCCGCGGGTCATAATGCACAGGCTAAGGTGCCCTGAGCAAAGCGCCCACCCTCTCGGGCTCCAGCCCTCTGGGGCCCCCGAGTCCCGCTGCTCCCGCACCTGACAGGGTCTGCCAAGCCTGCGCCTCCAGAGTGGGAAGAGCACCTGGATACCCCTTGCTGTTGTTTGACGAACGTGTACGTGGAAGACCAAGTCCAGGAGCGAACTTACGTGCTGTGGGTGCGGCAGACAGGGAGCAAGTTCTCAGCTGTCCTCTCCTTCCCTGGCGCGCTCCTCCGGCGTCTGTCTCCTCCCGGTGCTGACTCCTCTTTAGAGGTTGGAAAATTCAGCGGATGTTATGGCCAAGATTCCGGCTCGGGCTGAGAACTGAAACCGAAAGGACGCGACGCAAGTTGTCTAGAGGTGTTAACTGCTAAGGGTGTTCTTGTTTGTTAACGGAGACTGGAGGTCCGAGGGCGGGGGCCGACCTGGGATCCGGGGTCCCTTCACTCCTGCCCTGGGAATCCCGAGCTGGTGCCCCTCCTCGGGTGGGTGCGGCCCCTGACCCCGCAGGGAACCCAGAGCCACAGGCTGTAACAGCAGGCTGACCAAGAACTGCAGCCTGTCTCTTAGGGCTACTTTTGTGGACAATTTGGGTGTTTTGTTTTGTTTGTTTTAATTTTTCGTTTAGACCATCTCAATTCTTTCGCTCTTTTTAAGTACTCTTGTTATTAACGTAAGTGATTTTTCATTAATGAATTTTGCAGTCCTGAGATAATCGCTATTTTGAAGCATGCTCTTCCACTTATTATTATTGTGTGGTGGCTTTGTGGGGGATTATAAAGGCCCTGAGTTTATATATTTTGAGTTTATACTTTAAATAAATAAAATGATATAAAAATGTAAATTCAAAAGTATTTATTTTAAATGAGCAAAGAAGTCACAATCATCAGTGCGTTTTTAAAAGTTGACAATGTATATTTTCTCTCAGTTCTCTGGTTTTATCTTCTATTAAGGTTTCCCCTTCATACTTGAATTTTAGTATGAGCATTAATTCAGAAAAAATAAATATATAATTTTAAAGCATTCCACTATATTAAACTACGGACCAAAAATTGTATATTCAATTAGTCATTTGCTCTAGCTGTTGCCTTCTTGATGGATATAAGTAGGAGTTGTGTTATTGGAACTAATTTGAGTTTGTTTCATTGACTATTTTTCTCTGCCTAGAATATTCTGAGTTAGTTTCAAAGACATTAGCCCTGGCCGGTTTGGCTCAGCGGTTAGAGCGTCGGCCTGCGGTCTGCAGAGCCCCGGGTTCGGTTCCCGCTAAGGGCGCGTACTTCGGTTGCAGTTTGTCCCCGGCCCTGGTTGGTCGTGAGGGTGGCGGCCACTCGATGTGTCCCTTCGCGTCGATGTTTCTCTCTCTCTCTCCCTCCCACTCTATCTGTACAAAAAAATTGAAAAATACCCTCGGGTGAGGATAAAAAAAAAAAATTACAAAGACATTAAAATGTTAATTCCACTTATATCAATCTGTTTGGTTGAAATTAACTCTTTGAAAACATGATAAAAACTAAGTAACAACAGCTATGTGTCAGATGTTCATTTTTATAGCATTATCAACAATATAATACTAAAATGAAAATCTTGTTCCAAGAAAGCTGTTACATTGAATACAATATCAGGAAATACATTTAAAATTGAACATTTTAAATTCCTTTATTTTTTATATGTGATGTAATATTACCAACCATATTTTTATTGGAATGTTTACCTGTTAATGAGTTGATATCCTAGACATCCCATTTTCAGAGTTAAAATGTATTCTTATTGTGTCATATTGTTGGGCAATTTTTATAAATTGTCTTTATTTGGTATTTTTAATTTGGGTAATGTATGGTTTTTCTGCAGCACTTGGTGGTGCATTTCACTGGTACAAGTATTACAATTGTGAGGCCCATTGACTTTCCATATTTAAAGATGAACAAAGTAAGGTTCTCACCTTTAGACAATCTAAACCTTGCAGATGGCAAATATAAAATGAAACAAGAAGTAGTGGGTGCTAAAATGATGTTACAGATAAAGTGCTTGTTACTACAAAAGTAATCATTGTATTAGGAAGGCTTATAGGTGGCTTTACAGAGAAGGACCCATTTTTGTTGAATCTTCAAGAATGACTCACTTTTGAAAAAGGAGTGATTGAAGGCAAGATATTTTAAAGGAAGGAAAGAAATGAGCAAATATAGAGAAGTAGGAACTAGATGCTAGGAATCAGTCCAGTTCAATGCAGCCAGTATAATGGGCTCACTGAGAATAATGTAGAAAGATCGACTGAAACCTGTATCATTGACAGCATTGCACAGACAGATAGAGACTTTGAAGGTTACTAGGCATGCTCAGAGCCAAATATTTGAATTGTGTTTTTCTGATGGCACGAGTAGGAGTGAATAGATTGAGGACATTGGAGATCAAGATTATTTCAGAGGCTGATGCTCCAGCTTAGAAAGCATATTATAGTCCCTCCACTCTAGGTTCCACAGAGTTATTCAAGGGTTCAGTTTCCTTCTATTCTGTTGTTCTATATCCAAGACATTGTATACATTTGTAAGCACTCAAAGGTTGAGTGCTGTCATATCCAGACAGTTAGATGGAAAAAAGAGACTGGCAGAGAACTGACCTAAAGCTCTCTGACCCAGACCCACCAGTTATATGCACATACTTCTGGTTATATTCCATGTGCTCATGGCCACACTTAGATGCAAGAGCAGCTAGAAAGAGGTAATGTCTACCTGGGTTGCCATGAGCTCATCTTATTATATAGAATAATATAATACTTGGAGCCAAAAATTCTGTCATAGATCTAAAAATATATGCAACAATATCAGAATAAACTTTATTAAAAGACGTTTAATTTAACTTGGCAATTTGTAGAGTTGAACATAAGCTGCATTAAGTATAGTGAACCTATATGACTGAGATACAGAGATCTGATGATGCAGGATGAGAGGTGAGGAAGAATATAAGGCTAGTTAGTTCTTTTGACCTTTAAATAAATATTTTATCATTGTTATTTTATTATTTATTATTTTAATGTTTAAAATATTATTTTATAGTTATTTATATTATTATATTATATTATATTATTGATGAAAAAAATATATTTGGAGTCTTTCTTCATCTTCCATGGTGGTAAATAGTTGCAAAATCTGTGTCTATATCTTTAAAACATATATTCTAAAAGTGTAAGTTACAAAGAGTAATATTAGTGAAAGAAGAACTATAAAAATGATTTCCAAAACCAGTGGCGGTTAATGAGACTGGATTTAACTGAAATGAAAGTTTTGCATGTTCTATTAATTTATCTCCAGAAAAGATGACCTAGCAATTGCTTTAGAAAGTATGTTTATGGCATCAAATATTCGTAGTTTTGGGGACTGGTAGGAATTTTCAGACAGAAGGAGTCTCATTTTAACATGCTGTATGCAGTTTGGCAGAAGACCATAAAGGTGCTGATATACCAGCCTTTCCAGAGAAGCACAATCTTAAAGCAATTTCAGTTCAAAAGTCTGTTGAGCTTAGCTCTTCAACAGAGAAAAATGTAGGTACAAAGGAATAATGGACCCTAGAAGACAAGATTCAGAAGATTGGGAAATTCTAGAATCAAAGACAGTAGCCCACTGTAACAAAACAGTAAAAACTAAGCAAAATTAAATGCACTTTGGATATTGCTAGGCATTGAAATATACAGAATAAAAGACCATGGTTTCAGAATTGTACAAAATGTAAGCAGTGGACCCTCCTTGGTGGGTTGGCTGTGTAAATATGTTACTTTGCTCACAAACTGGACTAAGATTTTATCACTGTAGGAAGAGTACACTCCCGTTTGTTCTTCCTGTACCTGGAACATAGAGCTTAATGAGAAAACTGAAATTACAGACATTTTTAATTTGTAGGATGCACATCTTGGGGAAGACAGAACTTCTGGAAAGACCTCCTAGACACTGGAATGCTAGGGTTACATTTAGAGTTGTACAAATTTAGCTTATCTCATGTCACATTCTGGGAGGCCCTTGGAAACTCATTGTGCTCCTTCTCCAGGTGTGTTCAAACCATGACACTTCATTTCACTCTTACATGAGACTTAGCTTTGTCCCTGGTTCTTCTTCCTTCAAGAGACACATCATAGACACTGCTCTGAGTCTCCTAGAGAACAGTTTAGTGACCTGGACATGTGCCTGATGTGAAAAGCACCTCATCCTTGTCCTGGAGACATAATTTGAAAACAACTTCCCAAGAGTCAGCTGGTGTGGCCCTTCCATGCCTATCACATTTGTTTTGATATGAAGACGTATGTAAAGTGGGCTCTTCTTGGCCCAGACCTCAAGAAGCACCCCCTTTCCACATTTGCAACACTTGTCAGGGCTTGTCCATTTAAGTTACATATAGGTAAATTAGAAGAAATTTAAAATTTTTTACTGGTTTCAGGTCTCAGGTTAAACAGTGCTCACTCTAAAGCCTCTTCAAATCCCATTTATAAGTGGGAAAGCATTCTTCATGGCTTTTTAAAAAACTTTTATAACATTTCTTTGGTATCAGAGAATTCACATAACAAACTTAAGAGACTTTTAAATTGAAGGAGTGTGTGTGAGAGAGGGGACACTGTCTTTTAGAGCTACCCCAAAAAATATATCATAAAGCCATATCAAAATATGTAATATGTATACCATTGGAAAAGCAACATAGAAGAGGGAAAGAAAAGAAATATGTAATTTTTTCCAAATGAATGAAAGACAAGAAGCCACATATCCAGAAGTTCAGAGAACCCCATGTAAAATGAGTAACAAACAAAATCACACCTATGCAACCATAGCTAAATTAAGACAGTCTTAAACACATAGAAAAAAAAAAAAGAAAACATTACCTACAAAAGACCGAAAGAGTGGATGTCAGAAGACTTTTTCCTAGAAACTATGCCAATTAGAAGAAAGAGGAATAACATTTCCAAAGTACTGAATAAAGAAGAATATCAAACCAGAATTCTTTCCCCACTAAAAACATTTCTAGAAGGAACACAAAATAAAGACTGATTGAATTTATTGTAAGCAGACTTTTATTAAAGATTGAAAAAGAAGGTTTCTCTCATTCCTACAAAAAATGAGAAATCACTGAAATAATAAAAATGTCAGTAAATTTAAGTAAAATAAAACACATAAATAAATCTATATCAGGAATTTATAACAAACCCAAAAGTGAAAACATAAGATGATATGAACAATTTTATGTGAATAATTTAAAAGCTCAGTAAAATAAACAAATTCTGTGAAATGTAAATTACTACAATTGATGCAAGGA